CACTAGGATTTTCTCCTGTATCGTGGAGGCAGTTTACAAACATAAATTTCACACGGACAAATATCCAGATCCGGAACAATCATTTTTAGGCCATACAAATACTTGTTTCGTGCGGGATTCGAACCCGCGGCCCCCCAGCGCAGCCACTCATTACTAGTCCACTGCGCCACGGAGCCGTCAAAATCATTCTAATTAGGATGTCAATAAATGTATATGTAGTAGTGTTCGGTTTTATGAACACAATGTGGCATACGTTATACAGACACACAATTTTTGCACGCGAGTTTTATTTAGCGAGCCTATTAATTTTCATATCTTTAAAATAATATATTTCCACAAAGTAACGCTTGAATCTATTAAATAGTAAATTTTTGGGGAAATTGTGGGAGTGTGGGAGAGTGAGTTAGGTAACACTTAGTTAACTTTAGCTAATAAATTTTCATATCTTTAATATAATAATTGCCGCTTCATATTATTGAACAGTGGAGTTTTGATAGGTTTAAGAGGGCATATGCGTTTCGCGTCGAAAACTACATGTTTTATGGGTTTTTCCAAAAGCGATATCGTAACGACGTGAGGAGATTATTTCCTGAAAATTAGGGCGTTAGAAAGATGAAGTCTTTATTTAGTACATAGCAATGCAAAATCATAGTTTTTAATGACGGTTTTTTAGGGCGAAGACAATCCCTTCACAGTGTTTTACGAAAATATGCATCAGAGTTATCTTTCAGGTTGAATACAACCATTATTATAAGCTAAAATACTTTATTTTAAGCGTTATTATAATGGTATATATAGTCTTTTAGTGTATAGCAAAACCTAAATTACGAAAATATTTCGATTTCATATTATAAAATAATATTATAAAATCACCAAAACTGTCTACTTCAATGTAATTTTTCCATGTATTTGCTTATAAACATATCTATTTTAATTATTTTATCAAAATACATGTAATGTTAAATATGCAAAAAAAATTTTAGCTCGTTTTATTTTGTCAATTATTTTATATAATTATTTTAAAAATACTATAAAACATCATGCGCAGACGCCGTTCGATTCAGTACGCTCCGAGTAATCCCAACGACAGGACGTATTACTTTTTCTCATCGACACCGCGCGATCGCGTTGATACACCGATAGGGCTACTATACTATAACTAGATACCTATAGCACCATCGAGCATTTTAAACGATTGACACTTTTATAAGCGATATTTTTGGTAGTAAGTAATTTTGAAACATGTTTATGATTGTAATATTTAAATATTAAATGATGTAATGGTGGCAAATTTTCATTTCATACATATTTTTTTAGAAATGAGTAATGAAAGTAAGCAATTCGGATCAAGTAAAAATACAAAATCGTTGGCTTTCACCTTTGGCTCCGTGGCGGAGTGACTTGGTAATGAGTTGTAGCGCTGAGCGCCGCAGGTTCGAATCCCACATGTAACAAAAATTTGTATTAACTACAAATAATTGTTCCAGGTCTGGATGTTTGTCCTTGTGAAATTAATATATTTAAACTGCCCCAACGATGTACTTAGGAAAAATTCCTAGTGTGCAGATAACGTTATGATTAAACAAAGACATGCCATCAAAATCATAACTTGTAAAATAACCAAGTCTCTCAATGATGATACGGTGGTGCTGCTGTTTTGCTCGACTTGGCGGGGGCACTACCGTGCCCCCCAGATATAAAACATATGAGCCGTGCTTGAGTGAGTAAACGCGAACAATCCGGGCTCGATCCCCGCTAGTGTTGCCAGGTGTCCCGATTTGCGCGGGACGTCCCGTTTTCAAGGGTCTAGTGACACGTCCCGATTCACCCTTGATCGGGGCGCCAAATGTCCCGATTTTCACTAATCTTCTTATTATATACTTTAATCCATAATTTTGACAGCAAAAATGATTATATCTGTTAGCTACTATCACATTAAAGAAAAATTCAGGGACTGCAAAAAAAAATAGTTCAAAAATGTTTTAATTTGCCTAAAATGAAAAAAATTCAGTTTTTACGATGTTTGGATTTATTCGTTTATGAGATCAGACCCGAATAATAATTATAAAGCACAAAAATAAAGTAAAGTTACAGTCACAATTTCTCGCATTACTCGCATACTGTGATATTTACAGTTAGCGTTGACCATCTGAGCTACCACGGCTCTTAATAAAGCACAAAAAGGCTACAAAGAACCTATATTTTGTAGTCATTGTAGTTGTCCGGATATGAAAACCAAATCCCTGATTATTTTTACCTCCCGTCCCGAAATTTTACTTGCTAGACCTGGCAACACTAATCCCCGCCGACACAGAATAAAAGTTTATCAAATGATATATATTTTATACAATACATATTTTTCAATTAGAACATATACATATTATAATATACTCAATAGGGTGAAAATGTAAAGCCGACTTCAATTTACTAAAAGAATAAAACAATTTCCACATATTAGCCTCCGATTTCTATACACTATATAAGTAAGCCATTATATGGAAATTATTTTTTTATTATTTTAGTTCCAACAGTATCAAGGACAGGTATATAATCAACGATCAAATTGATTCAAAGTCGTCGTTTGGCAACTATTATAGCCTCACGCTCGCACTGACACGCACACAGAGATAACATTGTAGTGTGCGTCATTATTACGCCGTTCCAAAGCGATCGCGTAGATTTCGACTTGGACATATTTGAATATGCGCTCTTAAATGGTAGTGATAATAGAATAAGAGTGACAAACATTTTTGTGTGCTCTTTATATGGATGCTGTGGTCTATGCTATATATGTGGACTCCACAGAGTCAGTAATTCATTCTTGGGACAATGTATACGCTATTACAACAAAGTTCCAGAAAATATACAAGGTCTCTCTATTACCAAGTTTAAATATTTAATTAAACAAAAACTGTATAAAAAGGTTTATTATGATATAAACGAATACATGGTTTGATAATAACCCCTGGGAATGAGGTGATCGCTTCCAAGCTGTTTCTAAAATAAATTTTGTAAATATTCTGTGACCCTTGAAATTGTAAAATTTATTTTTAAAAAAAGAGTCCCACTGGGTTTCTTACTGGTTCTTCCCAGGACAGAGGTTTTTTTTTGCGAACCAGTGGTAACATAAAATATTGACAATAAGAATTACTTGTAATCTATATTGAACAAAAAAAAAATTTATTCTTATTCTTATGAACACCTACATTTATCCTCAATTAGGAATCAAAATGTACGAGGGTGGATTGAAAAGTACTAGGCCTAACACAGATCCATTCAATTCTAAAAATCAAATCTACCCACATTATTTAGTTCAGTTCAGACTAGTTCATTGTGTGAAGTTCGAAACGTGTGCGATAATTAGTTGTGATTTTATAAATTTATTAATAAAGTAATCGGACATAATTTCCGCGAATGGAGCAAATCGAGCAGCGTGCCGTCATTAAGTACCTCCATAACAAGGGGCTATCATTAAAAGCCATCCATGATGACATGGTCAGTGCATTAGGCGATTGTGCTCTGTCATATTCATCCGTCAAAAAAATGGATAGCAGAATTTAAGAGTGGTAGAGAGAGTGTGAAAGATGAACCCCGCTCTGGAAGGCCTTCGACGTCAACTACTGACGAAAATATTAAAAAAGTACTTGATTTAATAATGGGAGACCGCAGATTAAAAATTAGAGAGATAGCCGAGATTATAGGCATCTCTTATGAACGAACTCAAAACATCATTGTCAACGAGTTGGGTTTCCACAAGGTGTCTGCGAGGTGGGTTCCGCGACTGCTTTCAGTTGAACAAAAAAGGACGCGATTGACTATTTCACGCGACTGTTTGGAGTTATTTGAAGCCGATGCAGATGATTTTTTTGAATCGTTTTGTTACTATGGACAAAACATGGGTTCATTACTGTACACCGGAAACAAAACAACAATCAAAACAGTGGAGAAGACCTGGTTCATCACCCCCTAAAAAGGCTAAGTCGATTTTGTCGGCAAATAAGGTGATGGCTTCAGTATTCTGGGTTTCGAAAGGTGTGATTATGATTGATTATCTTGAAAGGGGTCAGACTATAAACTCTGATTACTACGTCGTTTACGAGATGAAATAAAAGAAAAACGTCGAGGAATGCTCAGAAGAAAAGTCCTGTTTCATCAAGATAACGCCCGTGTTCACACGTCAGTACAGTCAATGGCTGAAATTCACAACTGTGGCTTTGAACTGTTACCGCATCCGCCGTATTCACCTGATCTGGCACCATCAGACTTCTTTCTGTTCCCAAAGTCAAGATTTTCGACAAACGACGAGGTCAAAGCAGCTGTAGACGCATATTTTGACTCTAAGGAAGAATCATTTTTTTTCAACGGTCTAAATGCTTGGAAGGGGAGGCGGCAAAAGTGTATTGAACTTGATGGTGAATATGTAGAAAAATAAAAATATAACTGATTTAGTATGTGTTTATTTTCTTGGTTAGGCCGAGTACTTTTCAATCCACCCTCGTAATAACAATTGTGTAAAAATAAATAAATATTGTATGTTACTTATAAGAGTATTCTTTTCTCAAAAAATTATGTTAATTCGTTTTACTGTTTAATATTTGTATTTTTTAATTTTATTAATATGTTGTTTTTTTCTTTTTAGTTTGATTAGCTACATTTATTTTAATATTATTAGTGTAAGATTTAGTTTATAACAAAAAAGAGGACTCTATCGCATTGGATTCGACCTGTAAGAATAGATGTCTCAATAAGTAAATAAATAAAATGCAGATGCGTTGTCACCTTTGAGGACTAAGATTGTATGTCTCCTTTTCACTTAAATGTCTAAGGTGGTTCTCTATACTCACAGAAATTACATAGCAGAATGGAGGTGCTGTTTTACGCTGGTATTATACTAAAGCGTTGTTTTACCTCGCTTGAGCCGAACCATTCGTGCCAAAACCATAAATATAGATGCATGACTTTACCACGTATAAAGACGTAACTTTAGTTTACTTCGACAGGCGGCGTTAGTGGCAGGTGTGCGAAAGAGAGGGTCGCGTGCGTGGCGACGTGCGTGGAAGTCGCTTCTTGTCTCGCAGACGGGTCGGCCCGCGGCCGTGTTGCCCGCCCTCGCCGCGCCTGCAGACGACTGGCTCTTCTACAGGTGAGTGTTGCCATTGTGTAGCATGACCGACAGAGAGCGCTCTAAAGACCTTAAATATGCCCTTTGTGTTCTTTAATTGGAATAAATTTAGTTAAATCAGAGGCATCTGAAATAAGTACCTTAATTTTTATTTTTATTTTATTGAATAAGGTACACAAACAGACAGTAGTTATATAAGGGTCTAAAATTAAAAGTATATTCGTGTTGATCTAAACTACAATCCAAAAAAGTGTACACAGCATAATAATATAACTACAGTATAATCTTAGTCTTAGCAAAATTAAAAAAGATAACAAATATATTAAATGTTAACCCGACCGTACCTACGAGAAACAAGTAAATTTCTTTTAAATCTAACCAGGCTACTATCGAATACATTACTACGCTTAATCTCGTAGCAATCACTGCATATTTTGACAACAGGGTTGAAAAAATAATTAATGGCGCAAATATAAGTCTGTGACAGATGACTACATAATTATGCCATTTGCTATAGAGATTATCGATACGTTCGGTGAAATTCCTAAAGGAAGTGTGCTCGCGACTGGTCATCGCTGCTGGTGATAAAATGCTAAGTATAATCAATTAGTAGTTAACATGTAATTAGCCCGTAAATATATGAAGGAAAGATCGATATCACAAAATTAATAATCTGAAAAGAAAGGTTTTCATTTCCGGCAAGTGGAAGTGGCTTTGCCTTGCTAAATGAGAAATAAGACGTAATTAATAAACGCCTAGTCGTAATGCACATCATGTATCAGCTTTTTGCGTTCTGCAATGTGGCTGATAATGCTGAATTTTAATTACCATGCATTACAAAATGAACAAATGCAGCGGGCTGTCTTTAATATCGCAACATTCAATAAAAGTAAAGTTACAGCCTATATAACGTCCCACTGCTGGGCACAGGCCTCCCCTCATTTCTGAGAGGGTTTTAGGGCAAGGAAGTGTCCGCCGCGCTGCCCCAATGCGTGTTGGTGAACTTCACATGTCTTCGAAATATTTTTTTCTTATTCCTCAGAAATGCAGGTTTCCTCACGATGTTTTCCTTCACCGCCGAGCACGTGGTAAATCAGCACTTGAAATTGCAATTAACAATTTCATTGGTGCCGGCGGGGATTGAACCCGGGTACTCGCGTTCTGTTATATTTACAACGAGCTTTAAACCATGTGGAGCTACCACGGCTCTCAACATTCAATAGCGCCTTTGCATTGTGGCTAGAAATTTTGTCATTAAGAAAGTGGACCTAACTAGTCGTTCTGTAATCAGGCTAAACATTGACATAGACTTTTTAGTCAACGTATTATAACGTCATGCGGCAGTCGGCTGAACATCAGTATAAATGGCGCCGTATCAAAAAACAGCCTTACAAACATTACGAAGGCAAGTACTGTAGCTAGGTCTTTTAGAATATGCCTGATTCTAAATGTTGGCTGCAACGATGTGTCATCTGCTCCCATTTGGTCACCTGGTGCCTAGATAACGACGATATTCATCATAGATATCGGTAGGAATTCGCCTAACGAAAAAAAATATGCATGCCTCTCGCTCGTATTTCTCACAACTTTCATTCAATAGCGATTGTAGCCTATGCCGCGCCGTATTAAATAATATCACCTATTTTTAGTTTTACGCGAAGGCCGTAGGACGAAATGTTCTTATGTATTTTTTGGATATTCGGAAATTTTGTCAGTTATATTATATTTTACAAATACTTTCGAGCATAACTTCTATTCCACTTACACAAAACACCATATTATTTTCCAGACGATAAAAAGTTACCCAGTATATTAATGTGCCATTAAAAGCATAGATAATATGTGGCCGTAAAGGAAAAGGGGAGATCTCCCGCCGGGCAAGGTGTTCTGTCCGGGGAGCGGCCAACACTCCACGTGATAGTTCGGAGATGTTCTATATATGCTGTTTATGATTCGGAATTTTGATAGCGCGATTTAGGCTTCGGTGTGTTTCGCTTTGTGGCGCGACGACAGAACCGCCACATCACCCCCTTGCTCAGACCGGAGGTCGATAGTGCAATCTCGTTGCCGACGAATATGCAAGTGCCAGGAGATTGCCTTATAGTCTGCGGTGCGTCGAGAAGAAGGCAAGTAATCTGCGAGAGTGCCGTGAAGCAGAGGCGAGCAGTAAGGCTCAGAGCCGTGCCGAACACTGTATAGCGCAGAGAGTAGCTTGAAGGAACAGGAAGCATTATTATTCCAGTGCTGCGATGAACCTTGTGAAGCTTGATGGCTTGCAAGATATGAAGACTGCAGACGATATCTGCTCGGGAGCGAATGGGTGGGGTACTCAATGACGATGATGAAGCTTGAAGTTTCCGAAGGTTGTTGGTTGCGTGTTCAGATCACGTCGAGGTCAATATTGTGGCCGTAAAGGAAAAGGGGAGATCTCCCGCCGGGCAAGGTGTTCTGCCCGGGGAGCGGCCAACACTCCACGTGATAGTTCGGAGATGTTCTATATATGCTGTGCTGTTTATTCGGAATTTTGATAGCGCGATTTAGGCTTCGGTGTGTTTCGCTTTGTGGCGCGACGACAGCGCCACCACAAATATAAAACTTGAGAGGTGTCAAGGTACACCGGGATGGAACGAAGTTCCTTTCAATTAATTAGTGAAGAAATTGTAACTTTTTTTTCAAATATATTTTTTTTTATTATTAACAACTAAAAATACATAAGCATTTATTATTGTCTGTATACAATCTCTACTTACCTAACTCAATCAGCAATATCCGGAACTTGTGCAGAAACACTGTCAGGATTCATTATTGTTATTATTTTTTATTATTTATTATGTACAAAAAACTTGTATACACTCAACAAAAATAATCGTCGCTACACCACATTGTTCAATGCGAAATAGAAAAACGAAACGAAAATAACTGGCTAGCTTTATATGAGAGAGAGAGAGAGTGAGAGAGAGAGAGAGAGAGAGAGAGAGAGAGAGAGAGAGAGAGAGAGAGAGAGAGAGAGAGAGAGAGACAGAGAAACACGCGCACGCCGCACGGCTTACAACTATAGCAAAAAGTGTCGTTACAACTTTTGGTTTTTAATTTTTTCCGTCTAGCCCCCTTTCGCAACGCGCGATAAAGAACTTTGTTCCAATAAGTTTATTTCGAAACTTACCATCGGGTAGGTCTCTTGTAAAAAATAAAGCAAATCTATACATATATAACTGAGAGTTGAGTACGGCGCGTTCAATATACAAACTTAAAAATTTAATGAATTATGGTCAAATTTAGACCACTAGTAATGTATTATCAAGTAAAACATAATATTGTTTCAGGTTTGCCTTCACGGTGCTATCGAGTGAAGCACAGCGAGGCCGGGAGTGGAAGTCCTGGATCACTGCGCTGTGCGCCGGCGCTTGCAAGTATGTATACCTATTTAATGTATAGACATTATACATTTCTTTATAGACTATTTAAAGACGGAGATTCTTTAAACAGTTTCTCTTCTAAGTCATATTTTCTTGTAATTCAAGACCACGCTGTTAATATCTGGTAGAGTCACGCTGCAGCTATATTGTTGTTGCAACACGAATGGGTCGGCGTGAAATAGCAGCTTAATGATGTTGTGTTTCGTGTGATGAGTGTAGAGAATCGGAGCCCTTTTTATATAACTTATTTGGATTGGAATTTCAATTTTATAAAACCTCGTGTACACAGATGGCGCGGAGCTGCGGGCGCGTGGCGCGTGCTGGCGAGTGCCTCCGCGGGCCCCGTGCCCCCCCCGCCCGCCAAGCCCCTCACAACTCCTGCGCCTCCCACATCCCCCGCGTCCCCCGCGCCTCCCGCACTTCCAGCGTCTGCGCTGCTCGCAGCAGCTCGCTGCCTGCACCAACCCGCCGACTACTACCGGGTGAGCCAAATTCTTTAACACTTAAGCTGGTATTCAGAGGCAATTAGTGAGTTTTTGTATAAAATTAAAATATTTCATTTTATATACTTCAATATATTAAACAGAAAAGTGTGTAACATTATTACCTTTCTTTGTGTGTTCAATAAATTTTATTCATTTTCGATATTGTTTTAAAGTAATAATTGGTACCGTACTTGTTAGGTAAATCCCAACAACATTGTTAAAAACTAAAATGTCTTCTACTTTCTTTTAATATAGGGACGCGTGTTGCCGATTCGCAGCTATCACACATAGACAAACAATAAATACACAATTACGCCTACACATATCTCTAGCATTCATGCAATAAAGATTGAACTACTAAACTATTGCATTAAGGAAAATTTTATAAAAACGTAAAATCTCAGGAGGCGTAGCCAGCCACTCGGTCCAATAATTGACGTGTGCGTTAACTCTCACTTGGGCATAGTGCAGCGCAATACAAAGTTATACAAACAGCAAACAAATAAATATATGTATTTAACTGACTTCGTATTGTTTGTTATTTTCCAGTTACCCGGCTTCTTTCAGATCCTTACAATATATTAAAACTGCATAAAAATTTATTAAGTAATTTAAAAGTACAAACAAGCAGATAATCGCTGATAACGGTAATAATAACGGTATAAAATATTTAGAAAAAAATTTAGAGAACGTGTAAATAAATATTTAGCGAAAAATCACATTTCATTCCTATTTCGGTAAAACTAGGTAAGCTAAACATAATAAATTATCGATATAAAATAGTAGTGTCAAATCACTGACTCGCGCTCGGTTAACTATGACATCTGGACGTTGTACAACTCAATCCCCCGTGACCATGGGTGCTGTAAAGTGCTCGAAACGTCGGGAATATAAAAAGTCTTCACGAAACATAAGAAATCGTTACGTTGGTATCCTTATTTCTTTCATTGTAATTTTTCTTTTTTTTAAATATTTTCTAGTTCAAAGAGTTATTCGGCGAGCAACGCGGTGCTGCAGCGGCTTTAGACGCGATCGCTCTGAACGCCGCGTGGGTGCCCCGCGCCGACGCCGACCTACTGCGGTACTTCAAAGCCGTGAGCAGCCGATAGAAAACACAACGTTCACCGTACCGAATATCTTAATATTGTGATTTTCAAGTAGCTATTTAGATTTCTTATAAACGAAATGTCTTTAGCTAAATGTTTAACAGAGAAAACAACAAAAAAATATAGGTACTCGTAATTTTTCACAAGAGACTGAAATTCTATAGTATCTAATATATATCTCAAAAATAACAAAAAGTTTTACAAAAGAACTCTATTGTAGCCAAAGACTTCTATGTATACTAGACAGGCTCTGCAGACTTAACACATTGCGCTTAAAATTAGGGTCAATTCTCCGTAACTCTTTTAGTCTACTGCGAACGGGCAAGAAGACTAGTTTTTTGTTTTGTAAACCGCGAACATTGTTTTCGACAATCTGACAATGATTTTGCTTAATTTGATCAAGAAAACTCTGTCATTATTTATGTGCGCACTTCGTCAACGTGATTTGAAGTGTATTATTTATTGTAACACTTTATTAATTTAAAAATGGGCTTGTCAAACGTAGATGATTCATTTAACCCGGGTAGTATCTGTATTGATGATTGCAATTACATTTTTTGAACGTTCGGGATCATAGTATTGATAGGACCTACAACCAAAGAGTATATATATAGTACATTACCGACTACCGACATTATCGAGCGGGTCTCACAGATCACAGAGTACTGAAACTCGAAATGATCCCTTTGAATGATTGACTGAAATGACCCGGTTCGTAAGACGATTTAATACTTGAATGATCGCGTCAACAGAAATGAATGAATGACACATGTCTAGTCTATACATAGGAGTCTTTGATTGTTATCACTATAGTTTAATTTATATCAATTTTGTGACTTTTTCTTTTAGTGATATTACTAGCTAGAAGCTGTCTTGATTATAGTTTCATACAAATTGCACAGGGTTGAATGTCATCATCATCATCATTACAGCCCTTCACAAGTCCACAGCTGTACATAGGACGGTCCTGAGCCACCTGAATCCATCGGCTTCCTGCATGTCTTATCAGGTCGTCACTCAGTGGGGAGCCACCACGAATCTGAATATACTCGAAATCAATTAAACAATGTCATGGATATTGTTACGAGCTTGAGGTTCGTGACAATAAAAATTGCCGATAAAATTACCTAAATTAACACTTTAATTTACTTTACACAAATTAAAACTAAAAACACTAATAATTAAACACACTAATTCACTTAATTCCGCTCCGAAGCTTCGCTTGTGTCGCCTAGTTCAACTCTGCCCCCCTCGCATCTTGCAGCACCTATATATTTAAATTAGCAAAGAAATATCCAGAATGTTCAAGTAAACAAACGCAAGGTACCGAGCGTTCGAGTTTCGACTAGGCGCTGTCGGTTGAGTGATTTGTGATGTCATTTTCTCAATGCTCCCCTCGCTCTCGTTCCTGATACTAGATGGCGCTAGTGTATCGTCGATTTGAGCGCGTAACACTGCCCCTCCTAAGACATGCTCGTCCCGAGCATTATCGGTCCCATAATAACGCGCCAAGCGATCCACATTGACGATCTTAGGAGTCCCTCTTGCGCCTTTCTGTAACGGCTCCGCAATGTCAAGGGCTGTTCTATCCCGTGGTGCACCAACATTGTACAATTTCGGTGCTTCTCTACTACGTGTCGGAGGTCCCCGCACGGCCGCACAACTTGTACATGTACGACACCAATCCTCGACATCATCACGATAATGGACCCAGTAAAACTGTTCTCGGACCTTCAGTAGAGTTCGTTTAACTCCCAGATGGACTCTTGAACGACCATTATGACACAGCTGTAGAACATTCGGCACTTTAGCTTTAGGGACAACCATTTGCAAACAACAGCTGTCCCTTCGACCATTGTCCCATTTACGGCACAGGACTCCATCCTGAATCAGCAAGCTGTCCCATTGGGCCCAATAGCTTTTCGTGGTTGAACTCATCGCTGAGACGTCCCTCCACTTAGGCTTGGTAGCACGGGCCTTCATCCATCCCAGAATCGGCTTGATGTCCGGATCTTCCTGCTGTGCATGTCGTAGGCTGTCCTTCCACCCGTTGCTGAGGTGGTCTGTCCTGAGCATCCTCACGGATACCACTTCCTTACTCTCTTGCCTACTACAATGGTTGCAATCTTCAGGACAAGGTCTTCTTGTCAATGCATCTGCGTTGCCGTGAGATTTCCCGCTGCAATGTTCGATAGTAAGGTCGTATTCCTGCTGCTGCTGGGCGGTGCTGTTAGCCGCACTTTCTTTCTGAGACCGTTCACCTTCCCTTCCTAGGGTGTGCTTGGGGCAGCTGGACCGAATATGGCCCCTTTCCCCACAACCATAGCACCTGGGGCTGTATCCTTTATTGTGGTCGCGAACCGTAACTGCGGCAACCACCCTAGCGCTAGGGGAACGACGATCCTGTCACCGCCAGGCGGTGCCGTTAGCTGCACGACCCTCTCGAGATCGATCAACTCTCCTTTCCACGGTTCGCTTAGGGCAGCTGGATCGAAGATGGCCCTTTTGCCCACAGCCATAGCACCTTGGGCTGTATCCTTTGTTGCGGTCGCGAACTTTAGCTGCTGCAACCTCCCTGACGCGATGGGAACGATGATCCTGCCGCACGGCTTCCACCTCCAGTGCATGGGCCAAGGCGTTCTTAAGCGTCTCGTGGTGCCCGAGCCTCACAGCAGCTCTGACTTCCAGGTCACGGATGCCGTCGATGAATGTCTGCACCAGGTTCCCTTCAATGAGCGCAGGTACAGACCGGTATGCTTTTCGCACCAGCTTCTCCACCTCTAGAGCCCACTGCTGCAGGTTTTCGTTGATGCGCTGCACACGATCTTTAAGCTGCGCACGAAAGACGTGTTCCAGGTGAACGTCGCCATATCTCGCCTCCAATGCCTCAAGGAGTTGCTCATAAGTCACTTCCTCACCGAGAGCTTCCAGAACTGTTAAGGCCTGGTCGCGCAGGCCTAGTGTGAGAGCAGTCATGGCCTGACTTTTATTCCAGCCGTTCGCCTTCATAACAGCCTCGAACTGGATTTTGTAGGCTGACCAGGAAGAGGTACCGTCGAACGGTGGCACCTTGAACCCACGTAGCGAAGGTGTTGTAGCTACTACGGGAGCTGTAGCTCCATCTCCAAGTTTGAGTTCGTCCAGTGATTTCTTCATGTCAGCCATTACGTTGTCAACCCGATTGTTTACTTGGTCGATTCGGGTTTCAGCTTTCTCGATTCGGTTTTCAGCTTTCGCGATTTGGGTTTCAGCTTCCGACAGGCGTTTGTCATGCTGAGCAACCCTATCCTTCACCTCCTTTATCTCCTTCCCGAAGGTAGCGTGAAGGTCCTTCATGAGGAGCATCTGTTCCTCCTGTCGGCGGGCCTGTTCCTCTTGTCCGCTCTGCAGCTCCTCTTTCAACTGACGGACCTGTTCCTCCTGTCCGCTCTGCAGCTGCTCTTTCAACTGACGGACCTGTTCCTCCTGTCGGCGAGCCTGCTGCTCCTGTCGGCGAGCCTGCTCCCCTCCTGTCGGCGAGCCTGCTCCTCCTGTCGGCGAGCCTGCTCCTCCTGTCGGCGAGCCTGCTCCTCCTGTCGGCGAGCCTGCTCCTCCTGTCGGCGAGCCTGCTCCTCCTGTCGGCGAGCCTGCTCCTGCAGCATCACCATCAGGGCGCCTAAATCAGGTGCTGCAGATGCAGGAGCTACTGACGAACCGGCCTCCGTTGCCGGCGGCTGGCCCTCCGACGTCTGCGGCGTTGCACCACCAAATCTTCTCTGGTCCGTCTCATGCTGGCGTTGACTGCGCCAGAATGTTCAAGTAAACACGCGCAAGGTACCGAGCGTTCGAGTTTCGACTAGGAGCTGTCGGTTGAGTGATTTGTGATGTCATTTTCTCAATGCTCCCCTCGCTCTCGTTCTTGACACTAGATGGCGCTAGTGTATCGTCGATTTGAGCGCGTAACAATATAAAAAATTGCGGAAATATCTTGCATTCTAGTTTTTAATAAAAATAAAAAAATCTCGGTTGCAGTGATGTTATATACTAATGTAAGATATATTTCTTATACATAGATATAATGTATGCTTCGAATATATAGTTTCCATGTGAACAATATACAATACATTTACATAATTTTAGTATTTTAAGTTTGAAACTTTTGACAGTGCATCATCGAAATAATTTATAGAGTGTTCAGACCACCAAAGGGAATAGACGAAGCGCTGCATGCATTTCAAATTCTTTAATTTTTGCTTTTTTATTGTGCAGGTAACAATATACTCAGTGCAAAACTGAATAAGGTCAGCATAAAACATTAAAATAAATATAGGTTGTCAAAATTTTGCAGACTATAATAATAATGAGGACATCCACATTATAAGTATTAATGAGGTTTGAACCAAAACTAGTCTAAGAAACTTGAAGTGCGACTGAGATCGGTTTATAATTTGAGACAGCTCGCGCTACAATTCTCTAATGTTTTATCATCGCAATCGGATTAATATAGAAACGTATAGAAGATGAACAAACAAACTAAATATTCATTTTTGAATTATGATCATCATCTTTGAAGCAGAAGAGTTGTTCAGCTGCGTCCGGAGCCACCTTCGTCCATCGTCTTCCTGCATATGTTATCCATATAGTGGGGAGCCGCTCTACATTTGTATATAGAGGATAATATATCTTTAATTATAATCACTGCAGCCGGGTTCTCTGTTATTAATGATAACATTTACTTTATACTATACATATACGCATCTAACGACTCACACGTTATCACACTCACAAAGTTGAAATGTAGATTACTTTAACTATCACTTAACTAGATATGTGTCAATCGTGAATGATTCGTTCGTTTGAGCTGTTACACTTAAAAGTATTGAAGTTCATTCATGTGTTTTTTAATGTTCCGGTACATCCAATCACAAACAATTGACGGAATCTTTTTAACTCGTGATTGGTGTGAGTTGTAAATGAGTCAAAAACCGACTGAATCCCGAATGATCATAATGAAATATTTTAGT